GGTTGAATCAGAATCAGCTTTGGAGCTGGCAGACAATGAGATTCCTAAACTTGATCCTATGAGAATGTGAGTCAGAAGGTCTGCAGTGGGACTCAGGAATCTGCTTTCTTAACAAGCATCTTGGCGATGCTGAGGCTAATGATGTGCTATGCTTGAGGCAACATTGGTCTGAGGGGAACTGTCATATCTGTTCTTGTTTTTTGAGGTGTTTTATAAATATTGTGAACTCAGTCTTTCTGTAATTGCAAAAGTCGTGAGTGTATTGAAAGACTGATTAATAGGTATATGTGGGAGGCAGGAGGACGGAGGAGAGGAGTTGACTTGGAAGGGGCATGAGGGAACTTTCTGGGATGATGGCAATTTTCAATATATTGACAGAGGTTTGTGTTACAGAGGTGTATGTGCTTGTCAAAACTCACTGAGTGAACACTGAAGATGTGTACAAATCATCGAATGTACATTTTACCTTAAAAGAAGAAACTGCAAACAAATTGAATTCTGGTTAATGATATGCATGCTGAATATTTAGGGGTATACTAATGTCTTCAATTTACTCTGGAATGCATAAAAATAGTAAGTGTATTGATGGGTGGTTGGAGGGATGCAAAGATGGATTATGTGATATGTTTAGTAAAACGCTCATAGTAGAATCTAAGTGATGGTCATATGCAAGTTAACTGTAAAATTATTTAAGCTTTTCTGTGTGTTTGAAAATTTTTATATGTTGAAGAAAAAAACTAAAAAGTAATGGGTATATGACAATTATGGAATAGATAGCAGAGACAAAAATGAGAATTGTGAGAACAGTAGTTTGGACTTAGGGAAAAAATGGACTTAGGAACATATTTTTGGAACCTAGTTTGTTCACAGTTGGAAGAATTTCCATAGTGTTAGAAACAAATCTGTTATAACCTTTAATTAGTCAGGTTTGAGTAGATACTATGAAAAAAAAGAAAAAAACCCTAGCTCTTTGAAATGCTTTGCTAAATTTGTCATAAAGAGAAAGTATAGAGTGTATCATATCCTACTTTAACAGTATCCCTTTATGCAAGAAACAGTTTTTAATACCTTTATTTTATTCTGCTACAGCAAAATATTTCATACACATATTTATTACCACTAAAACATGCCTTCCCAGAGTCTGTTATTTATGCTTTAGTCAGAAACTAGCAAGATTCACTGAAACTTCCAACTATTTTAGGCATATTTTATCTTGTTATTAATAAAAACTTAGGTGTTGATTTACTTGCACAATAGTTTTGCATATAATATACTTGACAAGCATCCTTTGTATAACTGTACATATATTTCTTAATAAAATAATAACACTGCTTCCTGAGGGGCTGGACAGTAGAGGGTAAAATCTGTGGAAGCCTGGACAGTTGCTGAACACATCTGACAATGTATACGTATCATCTCTTCTAGTCTTAGAGAATGCTTGTTGCAGGTGAAAAATAATTAAAAACCTTTCAGTGAATGATACAGCATAGTAGTTTGGGAACTACTGGTGTTAATGATTTTATATCGCTTTGGGAAATACTGAAGCTAATGTAAGAAAGTGTGTACAGTTCAGTCTAAAAACAGTTCCTACTGAAATAGTTCATAGTCTTTTTTATGTGTTTTTCCACAGTGTACCTCTTTGAAAATATTTTGTTTTCAAAACTTTGTTGTTTTAAAGGATAAAATTTCGGCCCCAAGTAAAACAATAAACGAATACTATTAGGTTGTTTTATTTCATTTACATAATTAAGCCAACAGATTGTAGCTTCTATCACTAAATGGCCTGATCATTTCTTTCAGGCCATTTCACATAATCAATTGAGAAATCTCTTATATTTACAGAGAATTTATTGGCTTTTGATTGTAATTCAGCCAACTCTCAATCACTGTGGATATCAGGAAGAAGCCTTATCTCTTCAAAAGCAGTGATAATGTACAAGATATACAAATATGCAAAGGTCCACAGAATTTAAGAATCTCATTGAACTACTAGGTAAACTTTTGTAAACTAAGTCCTTTGTAACTTTTAGCAATAGTAACACAGTATAAAATGTTTTTTAAAAAACAACCAGTACCATGAAGAAAAAGGAAACCTAGCTTGTTCTTCAAACTAGTGGAGAAAGGTATTCAAACCAGTTCAATTAACTTCTAAAATGAGTTAAATTTTCCTTTCTCTAGTTTAGTCACCAATACTCAGGAAGCAAAGGAGGTGAACAAAGCAAGAAACAGCCCAACACGTAGCTACTTTCCCCCGAAATAACTGAGAGTTGACTGCAATTACTTACCGGCTCTGAGTCAAATCCTATCTGTCCAGTTAACTCTGCTAACATCTTGTCATGGTAATCATCCAGTTCAAGGGGGTTCATGGGCCCCAGACCTTAATGGAAACATCACGTCTTATTATTTTGTTAAATGAAAAATGACCTTTTAGAGAAAAACCCATTCCCCTTTGTACTAGAATTGGAACCAATAAAATGAAAACCAACTTTACCTCCCAGTTACCTGCTAAGAGAAAACTTACCACCCACCTTAATTTCTATTAGTACTTTAAGAAATGGGGAAATATTAGATGAAAGCTTATAACAGCATTTTCAACTATCTAATTATGTTCTTTTTACTTGTATGTGAACTCATACCTGTAAAATCACGATTATATGAACTGATCCAGTGGGACCGCTCAAGATTTCTTTGTATGTTGGCTTCTTTTAGAGAGTTAACAGGATCCCATGAATTTAAAGAAGTGTTAGGCGCAAAGGTTTTTGGAGGTTTGGGGTAGAACACTGGCTTGTTTTTCTCAAAACATTTAGGAAACTAGAATATGAACATAAAAGATTATTGCAATTAATGTCACCTAGTAGAAAAAGGGCTGATTCAACATCTCACCAGGAGTGGGGCAAAGAAATTCCAGGCAACAGAAACAATGAGAGTTGAGCTGAGCTTTGAAGAGTTAGCAAGTTTTAGATAGGCAGAGAGGCCATGAAAAGAGGGTATTCAGGAACAGGAAATGGCCATGAGCCTGTTGGAGGACTAGCAAGTAGAGACAGGCTGTAGGAGGTCTCTGTAGCTCAGTTAAAACATTAGGATTTACACTTAGGTCAAGGGGAGCTACTCAAGGTGGTTGCAAAGCGATGTGACATGAGGAAAGCAACATGAAATTAAACTACAGAGCTGTAAACTTTGGCTATAAGAACATGTAACGATGGAATGATTTATAGAATAACTTCTCATATTTCTGGGTTGCTTAGATATAGGTTTTGCTTGAAAGAATGAAAGAGATCCAGTAAAACAGATGATTCTTCAAGGACTTACCTTGATGTATAACTTTACAAAAAACAAACAGGAAATTGCTTACTTTATAGACAAGTATGTGACGTTGCAGTGAGCACACTCTGGCCTGCCACATGGTCTTTCTATGTGGAATTCAAATGTTTCCAGCCTTCCGTAATTATTTCTTACCTACCCATAGCTTGTTAGGTACTAGGGTATAACATGGAAAGCACTTGGCACTGCCCCTCACAGTCACTGACCAATGAGTGTTAGCTATTATTACTTTCAGAGTTCTAGGTATTTTCCTTCATGATTTCAACTTTTTTCCTTTTTTATCCATGTGAAGACATAGTATGGAGGTTAAGAGCAGAGACTGGAGTCTCACAAGCCCGACTTGATCATGAGAGAGTCACAAACTCTGAGCCTCAGTTTCCTCATCTATAAAATGGGGATGGTGATACCTTATGAGCTTATTGTAAGGGCTAAATGACATACTGTATCTAAAGTGGTTAGTGTGTAGCAATTTCTCAATAAACACTGGCTATTTTATTTTTGATTCTACACAAATATAATGGTTAGGACAATAAACTGCAAATCTTTCTGAAAATCTCTCATTTACTCTATGCATATTTAGAGTAACGTGATATATTATGAACCATAAGAACAGAGTTGGACACACAGTGAGTGAAACAGTCCTCTTCCACTTTCTTTCAGGAGGAACCTTTTTTGTAACTGGAAATGTTACATAACGGCCCAAATTATCTGAAATCAGCTAAGGAAACAACAAAGTGTGAATCCTGGTCAAAATCTCAATATTTTCACCCAGATAGAATATAAAAACAATCCTTCTTTCTGATTTTTATAAACAAATAGAGTAAAAAACCTTTTTAAACTTTGTTTTAAACACACATTAAAAAAGCACTTACATCATAATACACACTCTGACCTGGCCAAGTCAAGGATTTCTTCTTCGAATCCATGGGAAAATCAAGCAGTTCATATCTGTAAGGATTACCTGGAATTTTTAGGGAAAGCACTGTTATCCTGAATATACAAGAACCACCTTCTAATTCATGGGACTTATGGGTGCAGGAAATAGAAACAAGATAATATGAGGATAATATGAGGTAGAGAGAAATTAGGTGCACATTTTGGTTGTACAGTTATAGCTCTGTTTGATTTCTTGCCCCCCCCCCCATTTATGTGCAGCACGTGGGCCACACAGACCGAGAATGACTCTCTAACCCTAGTGCTCTCAGCAGCAGGAGGGGGACTAGTACTTTACCTTTCTTACTAATGAAAGGAATTTTTAGGTAAGTTATAAATCTTCCTGGATCCTCTTTCCAGTTTCAGTGAATATAATTCTAAACTGCCTGTGTTGGCTTTTCCCTGCCTATCAAGAAATGCAGTTAGTACTTGCTTAGCAAAAAGGTGTTGAAAGAGAACATCTTAAAAGAATACAGCTTCCTAGGTATTGGCGGTACAGAATTCTCTCCCCCGTTATCCAAAGGGGATATGTGAAACTGAAGACAGTACTGAACTCCACACATACGATGTGTTTTCATTCTGATAACTCAGATGCCTTCTAAGTGACTAATGGGTGGGTAGCACCATATAGTGTGGACACGCAGGAAAAGGGATTATTTACCCCAGGGTGGGACGGAGTGGGACATTGGGAGATTTCATCATGCTATGCACAATGGCGTGCAATTTAAAACTTATGAATTGTTTCTTTTTGGAATTTTCCATTTAATATTTTCAGACTATGGTTGACTGCAGGTAAGTGGGTAATAAAAATAGTAACTGCTCACTCTTATGTCTCTTTTACCCATGAAACAGGTACCAATACTCCCATTTTATAGATTGGGAAGTGGAGGCAGAGAAGTGAAGAAACTTTCCCATAGTCAATGGTGAGTAAGTGGCACAGCCAGAATTCTACCTATGCAGTCTGACTCCATAGTCCATGCTGTTAAATATTCCACTCTAATCTCTCTCAGAATGTTACTGTCTCCCGTAAGGTACTGAGGCTGACACTGATGATGGCAGTATGTGTTCTTACATTTGGGTTCAAATATTCATGTACAGAGGACCCACATTATAGGAGTTCTTGGGTGTTACCTTCCTCAGCCCACATTCATTCAACAAGTATTTATCTCTGCCTACCGTGTACCTTTTCTGTCACCTTCAATCTTTTGCCATAGGTTTCTTCTCTGTTTTGAGGTGTCTAATGTGGGAGAGACTTACCACCCTCTGCAATAAAACTCATCTGGGAAGACCCCAATGTTTGCATCTGTGATAAAATGCTCCAAAGTGATGAGGGACCAAACAAACTGCTCCCATCACTTTCTGAGTCCTATGTCAGTCAGCATCTTTCACTTTCCTCATGGCTGCTACTTCCATGTCCAGACTCTGATGCTCTGAACCCACCACTGTCCCTTGTGCTGATCACCTGAGCTAGGATGGAATCTTAAAAAGCTAAACCATAGGAGAGAGCAAAACTAAAATAGAAACAAAATATAAGTAGAATAAAAACGAACAATTCTACAGTGTTTGTTTCTGATTCTACCATGGGAGGCTCTGTATAAAGAAAAGTTAAGAGCATCTGCAGAAGATCTGATTTAATTGGTCTGTGGTGAGGTCCCAGCTGATTCTAAAGGGCAGCACAGTTGAGAACAACTTTTCTAATCTGATGGGTCACACTTTTGTGACTTGAGTCCTTTGCCTTTAATTTTATTATTGAATAAACTCCAAATATAAGAAGAATACTCTTCTGATTTTAAATCCTATTTTACCTTTTGTCTTCAAAATCATTGTATCATAAGCCTTTGATGGCACAGTGGGAGGAAATGGCTGTTGGCCTCGGGCGTTGATGCCAGTGTAGCGATCCTTAGGTGATGTAAAGGTCGGGAACATGGCACCGCGACAGATGTGTGTATGGTAGGGGTGTTCAATGGGATACGGGGAGCAGATTTCGCTGAGATTCAGTTGAGCAAACAAAACGAAATGGAATAGAAGTGTAATTTCAAACAATTAATCATCACATATTTATTGGAAACCTTTGTGGCCAGTACTGTACTAATCCAAGGTTGCAGGTTCAATCCCTGGTCAGGGCACATACTAGTGATTGCATAAATAGGTGGAACAACAAAGCAATGTTTCTCTCAAATCAATCAATCAATAAATTTTAAAAAAGATTCATTTGTAAGAAAAAAAATCTGGAGTCCAGTCATTTATGAGGCCAGTTAGCTCTTTTTTTGTTTGTAAAGTGATTTGGTTTTCTTGCCCTTGTCACAAACTCTCTCACTTGAACATCTTTTTGAATTAGGTATCACATTATTTTATTGCTGATCACTAAACAATTTTCTAATTTACTTACTATGCTTAAAAAGTGCCACATCAACTACTACATGGCTTGGTACAGGGCACCAAGTTGTCAACTCTGATGACATGAGAACAGAATCAGGGCATTCCTAAATTCCAAATGACTGACGTTCCATGGAATCATAACTAGTATAGTAACTGCTCTTTCACTGAAGCAATACTGACTGTACTTCATTTTCTATATTACACATTTGTTCTAAATAAATATTCCCAGTGTCCAATTCCAATGGATTCTATAGTAAACCATCCCCGTTGAGTTAATTTCCTCTTACAAATCTGCTTGAAAATAAGTAAGCATTTACAGTTTGAGCAAACTGTGAATAAAGAAGGAACAAACACATCTGTGCTCATGGAGAGTGTCCAATGTAATTGAGTCAGGAAAGGATGGAGTTTACTCTGGTCTAGTAAAAAGCCCATGTTCTAAGGATGGTCTTGCACATTCAAAGCCCTGGGGGCTTGCCTCATTCACCCTCAGGCAGAAAGCAGGGGACCTGGACAAGAAAGACAGAGATCCTGGGGATAGTGGGGCATGAAATGATAAATGCTGTCCAACAGCCAGTAGCCATTTAGTCACAAAACATTCTAGAAAGAATGACTATCAAAGTAAATTGAGTGTTATGATTGTCTTAATATGTGCTAATTCACTTATCTGGGTAGGAAATTCATTTTGATTCCCTTGGGTTCTTCCCAGTACCAGGTTGAGCTAAGATGTAAGAATCAGTGGGAATGTGGAATCACTGGAATTAATTTTTGAATGTCTGATACCATTTCCCGTAGACTTTGAGTAGTTAAAGGAAAATGGTATGAATATTTCACAAAATGGTCAGCCTGTTCCACTGTTCCCCAAAAATATCTTAATAAGGAATCTGGGAGGTCCTTAGACATTGTCACTGCTGCATAAGCAGGAATTACATGACAGGACAATGTCTTTATTTATTTATTTATTTTAAAATATATCTTTATTGATTTCAGAGAGAGGAAAGGAGAGGGAGAGACAAAGATAGAAACATCAATGATGAGAGAGTCATTGATCGAGCCCGCAACCCGGGCATGTGCTCTGACCGGGAATCGAACCCTGATCGTCTGGATCCCAGGTCGATGCTCAAATGCTGAGCCATGCCCGGCCAGGCCCTGTGCTAACTGCTTTACCTACATTCATACATACACCCACACCCACACCCGCCTACACACACAGGGTGTCCCAAAAAAATGTATACACACTTTTAATGATTATAAAGTCAGTGTTTAGTAACATACAGCTCATTTTCAAAATTAAGTGAGTTATCAGCTGTTAAAGTATGTATACATTTATTTGGGACACTATTTTATATATATTTGATTTTAGACAGAGGAAGGGAGAGAAACATTGAGGTGTGAAACATAAATTGGTTGCCTTTGGTACATGTCCTGCCTGGGGATCACACCTGCAACCAGGGTATGTGCGCAGACCAGGGATTGAATCCACCACCTTTCAGTGTCTGGGACAATGCTCCAACCAACTAAGCCACACCGGCCAGGGCTTTATCTACATTCTTTATCAGAGAATCATTCAACAAGCTAAACACTAATGTGCATTTAGCACCAGGGCAGAGTGGCCCATTTTCTACTAATCTGATGTTGGTAAGGACTTTCTAACGAAGGCCATTAGATTTGTTTTCATTATATCTTGTTTTCATCAGAAAGGCATGACTAAAAAGTAGAGATTAATTCCTTAATTTAGAAAGTAAGTTCTAAGGGCCAAGAACATGTTACATTACAACAAAAGAACCACAAGAATTCCATAAGCCATTTCTTTCTGGGGACTGGGCTCCTTGATAGGAAGTAAATTTGCAAAATGTATTTGGGTTTTGCCTGTGGCCAGGACTTTGGTTTCATGAAGAGGTAGAAGGTGGGGGTCAGGAGGGCAGGGCAGAAATGTTCTTCCCTTTGGGTTCTAGAAATGTGTATTTCCTAGCAAACAGTATTAAGTTATATGTGGTAGTGACCTAGGAAAATGTGATTCACCCTAAGACCTGAAAGCTATGGACTCTGTGTGTCCTGAGTCTGTGTATCTTATGAGATTTCATTCCATATGTTGCAAAGGTTATGTTTGTTTGTTGAAAAACATATTGCAAAATTATACCTTCCACTAGACTTTTAGGTTTTATCCCATTCAGGTTTTGAATCCAACAGTATTAAATGACCAGAATGTATTTTTGTTCCTTTAAATTAAGACTATGCAGTAAATAATTATGTTCCTATTATATTAAATGACTTGTAAAGGTTACTTTTCATTTTGTGTCTTGAGTCCTAAATAGAGAAGAAATGATAAGAAAAGGCAGAACATCACTCATGTAACCTCATATGCATTTAAATAAAGGAATTTGGTTTCTATACAACATAGGATGTAATGAAAATGGCATTTTACCTCTTCCTACCCAAACACATTACTCGTGTCCAATCATGAGAAAAACACCAGATAAATCCCAACTTGGGACATTCTACAACATATCTGACCAGTAACCCTCAAAAGTGTATAGATCATTAAAAAAAAAAAAAAAAAGAGGAAAGTCTGCAAAATTGTCACAGCCAAAAGGAGCCTAAGGAGACTACTAAATGTGATGTGGTCTCCTGGCTGGGATCCTGGAACACAAAAAAGACCTTAGGGAAAAACTGAGGAATCTGAATAAAGTATGCACTTTAGTTAATAGTAATGCATCAGTATTGGCTTATTCATTGTGACAATAGTACCATACTAATGTAAGATGCTAATAATAGGGGAAACTGAATCTGAGGTATATGAGAACTCTCTCTACTACTTCCCAATAATTCTGTAAATCTACAACTATACTAAAAATTTTTATTTAAAAAAAGGATCAGCAGGAGATATAATTGGGGGAAATTACTAATACGGTAATCTTGGACTTGTACTATCCTCTCCTCCCACTTGTTAAAACCTTTCATAAAAAGTCTCATTTGTCCTCACACTAAGACCTACGGATTGCCAATACCTTTTTTCCTTGATTAGAACAGGGAAGGCCCTGGCTGGATAACTCAGTTGGTTAGAGCATCATCCTGATACGCCAAGGTTGCAGGTTTGATACCGGGTCAGGGCACATACAAGAAGCAATCAACCAATGAATGCATAAATAAGTGGAACAGCAAATTGATGTCTCTCTCTCTCTCTCTCTCAAATCAATAAATTAAAAAAAAAACCACAAAAACACAGAAGAAAAATACAAGTTGTATACTTACCCCACTGCTGAACTAGGTGGTTTGGGCATCCTAGAATAAAAACAGGAAATTAATCCTAATTTATATTATGGACTTTTAAAAGCTTATGTTCCTTTTAGAAATTTCCTTAAGAATAAAGTAGTAACCAGTTTTCCAACTACAGTGTCTTTCAGGTAATACTAACTTTATAATATCTTGATTGACTTTCTGGATCACTGAATAACTGACCAGAGAGATAGGATGTCATCCTATCTCAGTTGTCTACTGATCAGGTTTTTTCCATTCTGCTTACTCTAACTTCAGTCCTACTCAACACTGTTGTGCATTTCTTATTTGCAGTGCAGGTAGGGCCGCCTTCTTGTAATGACAGAGCTCTGGTTCTTGCTGATATTCTCTCATAGTCAGGTGGTAGCAAAAGTGCTCCGAGGCAGTCCGCCACCACGCATGTGGTGCAATGACACGACCTTAAGTGAACTGAATGTGGCCTGGCTGGATACGCCGTATCAGTACTGTGTGTGCTTTGTCCTTTTGCCCAGGATTGCTGATCTCTCCCCGGTGACAGGCGAGAACAAAACTGAACAAGGTACTGAAGGTACGCCTTTTCTGAATCAGTTCATTTGAAGGTTGTGTATTTACTAATTACACTGAGCCCTGCATGCCAAGAAGTAATACTGCAGTCCAGGGACAAAGTCCACACTAGGGAAGGATTATCATCCACTTTCATTGGGTTCCAACAGTTAGTTTCAAACTATGCAAATATTTCTAAAGTATTTCAGGCATAAAAAATAAACAGAATGTTAATCAGTTGATAGTAAAGATCAGTGATATTGAGTATATGCTTTAATTTTTTGTTTTTCTATTTAGAAAATGGTATATTACCCATATAATTTTATTAGTCTATAATATAAACATTAGTCTGTGATTCACATGAACCATAAAATATTTATATCCTTCTTTATTTGGATTCCAAGTCTGTGGGGTTTAGAACTGGGGAAAAAAAAAAGTCTTGTCTTTCAGTTATATTTCTGGTTGAGTTGGGGAACAAGGGGGCAATGAATGTAAGAATCCAAGGGATCTAGTTACTAGATCGGCTAGTATTTACGAAACATTAAGTCAGCATGTAAAAATTTTCTCGTGACAAATTTTGCTATGATATTGACAAGTATATGCCTAAAACTGAGTTGATTCAAAATGGAAAAATGTATTTTTTTAAATAAAAGGAAAGTTTCTAAAAACTCCTCAAAGTTTGAAAATAAAATGAATGAAAAGAAAACATGCTCAGAGACACCAATTCCTTGGCCTGAACCAGTCTAGTATTTTACTGCCACACTCAGATTTACTTTTCAAAGTTAATTAATCCCAAAAGGATAAACAAAGCCAAGCAACCACAAATATCATGTCTTTTTGGCTCCCTCTTGTGGCTGAACTCTATATTAACGTCTTACCCATAAACAAGATTCCTAATAATTTTAATAAAGGCAAAGGGATATTTTCAGTTAGTTAAGTATTGTCAGTGCTTTATTTTTATTTGAAAATTTAAAAAGTATGATTTTTGTATTATATACAATAAACTATTTCAAAGAGTAAAACATAATTGCCAAGTATTCCTTATCCAAAAGAAACTTAGGGAGTAATCTTATTAAGAGTTATTTGTGGATTATCATAATGAACATCTCATAAAATTCTAATTAAAAATTTTGTTGAGGGTGCTAGGGCATTTTCTATGAACCTTTAAAGAAATGTAACATTCTTATTACATTGAGTAACTAGGTCAAAGGCAGGGAAATGGACCAAGATGGCCTGTACAAATCCCTTCGAACATTATAATCTGTATTTCCTATTTTTTCTTCACTTGGTTAAATACCACAAACTATTAGTGGGTTTTAGGTTTATTTGTTTAATTTTTTCATTTGTTTGGTCCTGGTTTCTATTATTAATGATCTCTATTGAAAAAGGAGCACTTCTGTGTTTTCCAAAAGTTCCCATTTTGGGGCTTTTTGGGGGCCTTCAAAAAAAATGTTATTTGATTTCATATAAGGAAAAGAAACTCCAAACTTACAAAGAATCATTTCCATAGGTGTCACTTTTTTTGTTCTGTGTCAAATAATAGAATTGTTCAATAGGGAGCCTTCTGAAAAGAAAGAAAAAATTAAATTGAACATGTTTTCAAATTAACGCAGACTAGAAGAAATATTTGCAATAAAGATACATAAAGGATTAATATCCAGAACATAAAGAACTAATAAGAATCTATAACGAAAAGACAAACAGTAAAAATGGAGAAAGAATAAGAACAGAAAATGAAATGTAAATGGCTATACCTAAGAAAAAAGTTCTCAACCAGAGAAATGCATTCTGATAACCAAGATACTCATTAGATGGGCAAAAATTATACAGTTTGATACTGTAATATAGTTGGCCGAGTGTAGGGAAATGGATACTTTTAGCCATTACCAAGAGAATGTAAAGCATTTGGACTATATCTCCTAAAATTAAAATATTTCTATATTGTGACTTATAACTTCCACTTTGGATTTTCCCTAGAAAACCATTTGTGTATGAGCTCAAGCAAGCCTGTACAAGCATATTCCTTACTTATAGTTAATGCAAAAAAAAAAAAAGAGGAAAAATGACACGAATGGCTAAATAATCTATGTGATGTGTCCCTATTGTGAAAATTAAAAATTGGGGTAGATGCGTGTTTATAATCTCTAGATTGAATAGAGATGCAAAGAACGAACTTGCCTAACACTATATATCAAATGTATCCACACATAAAATAACACCATATATTTTCAGCGGGTGCCTACACAATTATGTAGATGTGTATGTAACACAAGGTGTGAAAGGAGACACATCAAAGTGGTAACTGCAGTTCTCTATAGGAAGGAAACTGGGATTGGTGGGGTGGTGGTTAAAGGAGACTGGATCTTTTAGATTTTTTTAAAAAGACAAAATTTTTTAGAGCAGTTTTAGTTTCACAGCAAAATTGAGAGGAAGGCAGAGATTTCCCATATACCCTTTATCCCGCACATCCATAGCCTCACCCACTATCAATATCTCCCACCACAGTGGTATATTGGTTATAATAGATGAACCTACATTAACACATTATCACCTAAAGCCTTCACTCTTGGTGCCTGTAATGTTTGAATATACTGTAGTACTCAACTGTCCTTTGTGGCTGCCCAGTATCTTTTGAACACCACCCTATGTATCTCATTTCCCCAGTGCAGATTCCAAAAAACTTGCTTTCTCAGCCACCTCTGAGAATGGCCGTGGAGTGTGAGGTTTATCTGTACCCTACAGAATGCTCACCAAGAAAACCCCGCGATTGAGAATGTTCTTATTAATTAGATAGATAAAATGAGTAACCTATGTAGGCATCAGTCAGGCTTTCTCTGGTCACCTCAGTGCTTGCTCAATGGATGCATAAACTAAGTTATCATGGGGGCAGAGACAGAAGTTATCACGTAGGGACTCATCAACATGAACTTCACCCTCATCAAAACTGACCTGGCCACATGTGAGTTTGCCAGCAGCAGTGACCAACCCTAAATACGTCATTGAGAAAAATCTCCCCGGGTGTACTGGTCAGCCACCTGGTGGGAGGCTGGTTACACTGGACCCTTCCATCGTGAAAGGCATGATTTATCCTCACAGGACTAGACACTTCTAAATATGGATTTCCCTTCCCTTCTCACCATGCTTCTGCCAGTACCATCACTGGTGGTCTTTCTGAATGCCTTATTCACTGCATGCCATTTAAACAATATTACTTTTGACTAATTTACCACAAAAGAAAGAAGGCAATGGTTAAATTGAAAGGATACACTGGTCTTATCAGATTTGCAGAATTGCAGGATAGCCTATTACAGCTTCAGTATGGCTGAGAATTGTCCTAGAGTATGGCACATGCTCTGAACCAATGACCAATAAATAGTTTCCCCAAAGCCAGAATGCATGGTCTAAAAAGCAAAGGGTGGAAGGGGGAGTGATGCCGCTCACTGTTTACTTTGTTGTACCTGAGAACTAAATTTTACTTCCTTCACAGCCCCTTGGGCTTTGCTAGTTTAGAGGTCAAAGGAGAAGTGCTTTCACCAGAGAGCACAACAATGGTCCCATTAAATTGGAAGTTGAACTGATGATGTGGTAATTTGGGGTTCCTTATATTCTGGAGAAAACAGGCAAGGAAGGACTGTACCTAATAGGCTAGGATGATTGATCCTTAACGTCAAGGGCAAGAGGATTGCTGCTATACAATGACGGGGGAAAGGAGGACTTCTGGAACCTAAAGAATCTTTTGGATACCTCCGAGTATTGCTTCTAGTGGCATAGAGTTATTGAAATACTGTAGCAGCCTCACACTAAGAGCTTAGATCTCTCAGGAACAGAATTAGGGGTTGTCCCACAAGGTAATGAACTCCTACTGGCTCAGGTACTGGCCGAAGGCAAGGAAACTCCAGGGTAGTGGAGGAAAGAAATTATAACACCAAGAGCCTCATGCCAGCTGTAGAAATAAGGACTGTAGTCACACCCTATATTTTCTTCCTTGCTGTGTCCTGTATACTTTTATATATTAACTAATTTTTCCTCTCATTTCCCCTTATTATTTCATATAGGGCGTGTCGGTGATGGTTTATTAACTTCATACCTGTGGACTATAGTTACAAGATTATGACTGAACTAGAACTAGACAGGAGTGAATGTCACCCAGAGATTATGGACTTGGAGCTGGATGCAGGAACTGATGAGACTTTGGGTCTTCCCTTCTGGGACGTGAGCACATTTTCATTTGTCTGCTTTTTATTGCTTTACTTAAAAAAGGTCATCACCTGCCACATCGGCTGTCCTGTTGTTAATGTCACTCTCTAGCTGTGACTTGTCTTTCCTAATTTCTTTTAACTGCTTTAGAACAAACTAGTTAGCTAGATTGTTAGTAAACTAGGTAACCAGGATTATTAGAGGAAGCAGGAGTAAGGAGGCTCTGTGTGAAGGTTTGATGGATTTTATTTTGAATAAATTTCATAACTTTTAGTAAGTAATTAATGTGACATTGTATTTGCTGCTCAAGATTTTTTTTGCTTTCTCTTCAGTTTTAACCCATACTTTGAATAAAGTTGCTCAAAGAGTGACTTTAAGATTTATAAATGATTACTGAAATATTTTAATAATTGAAAACAATGCCCCATAGATTCTAATGACTATAGATTGATGAACAAATTAGAAATCAAAAGTTCCAAAAATTCAAGAACATCTGTGCAAATTAGGCCACATACTTGCTCAAGCAAAAACATTTTAATTTAATCTCTCTCAGGAATATTCCCACTTAGTTTTAGATAAAATGTGATTAGCAAGGGAATTAAATTAATCAAAATTTCTGATAATAATACTTGAACATCCCTACTGACAGCATCCATAAACACAGATTTTTCTTTACTGACTTCACAATTAGAATTTATATAATTAGTTTTTCCCATCTGTGTCTTCTTATAAATAGTAAAATAAATAAGTTTGGAGGAAGATTTAAATTAAAAAGGACTCACAATAGAAATAAAAATGAGTAATAAATACCTCTATGTGAAAGGCAGAAAGATCATTTACCTTGACCAGGTTTCTCCACCAAACCCATAGTGCTGATGTCCCTTGCCCATGGCATGAGGTTCGCATTTTGGCCTGTGCTCCTCAGGCAGTGAGATGGGTATCATCCCACCATATTCCCTGTCAGCGCCCCATGGAAGCCTACACTGTTGGAGCGACTCCCGTAATTCCCGGTACCTGTGAAAAAAGAGACTTTTTAAATAGCTTCCATATGGGATACTATGGTCTGAATGTTTGTGTGCCCCCGAATTTATATGTTGAAATCCTAATGCCCAAGTGACGGCATAAGGAGGCGGGGCCTTTAGGAGGTGGCCAGGTCGTGAAGCTGGAGCCCTCATGAGCGGGACTAACACTCTTAAGAAGAGACCCACAGAGCTCGCTAGCCTTTCCACCACGCGAGGATGCCGCACGAAGGTGCCGGCGATGAACCAGGAAGCAGGCTCTCACCACAGCGTGAGCCTGCTGGGGCCATGATCCTCACTTCCAGCCTCCAGGACAGTGAGAAATACATGCCTGCTGTTTATAAGCTCCCGAGTGTGCAGGAGTTTGCTGTAACTGCCCAAATGGCTACGACAAGCAACTAAAGTTCCTACAGCTTCAAACTTATTTTTAGATTACATTTTCAGATCACAGACAGAATTCTCAGTGCTGGGTAGAGTATGACAGATGCTGGTTACTTAGGCACCACTGGACTGCTGAAGGAATGAGATTAAATTCCCGAGGGCCTGCAGATTGTTTGTGGGGGTGTGTGTGTGTAAGTAGTTGTAATATGTATGCTTATTTCTTTTAAACGTCTTTTTACTGAGATATAACTCACATGCCACACAATTCATCCATTTAAAGTGTACAATTAAATGGTTTTTGGTATATCACAAATATCTCAACTATCACCACAGCAATTTTAGGACATTTCATCACCTCAAAAAGAAACCTTCTATTCTTTAGCTATCATCCCCCACTTTCCCCTCTCAATCCCAGTCCTAAGCAACCACTAATCTACTTTCTGTCTTTCTAGATTTGCCTATTCTAGATATTTCCCAGAAATGAAAGCTATCTGTGGTCTTTTGTGACTATATCACATATCAGTAGTTCATTCCTTTTTATGGCTGAATAATATTCCACTGTATGGATATAATACATTTTCTTTACCCATCTGTTGAACATTTAGGTTGTTTCTACCTTTTGGCTATGTTAATACTGCTATGAACATTTATTTGCAAGTTTCTGTTTTAATACTTGTTTTCAACTCTTTTAGGTCTATATCTATCAGTGGAAGGCTGGGTAATACAGTAATTCTATGTTTAATTTTTTGAGGAACTGTCCAACTGTTTTCCACAGTAGAAAATTTCTACCACCAGTAATGACCTAGGGTTCCAGTTTCTCCATATCCTTGCCAAGTCTTGTTAACTTCCTTTTTTTAAAAAATTATAGTCATCCTAGTGCATGTGGAGTATCTTTTCGTGGTTTTGATTTGCATTTCCCCATTGATTAATGATGTTGAGTATCTTTTCATGTGCTTATTGGCCATTTGTGTATGTTCTTTGAAGAAATGTCTGCTCAGATCATTTGCCATTTTTCAACAGGGTTGTCTTATTATTGAGATGTAAGAGTTCTTTATATATTCTAGATACAAGTCTCTTATCAGAGACAGGATTTGTAAATATTTACTCCTTTCTGTATGTTGTTTTTTCATTTTCTCAATACCATCCTTTGAAGCACAAGTTTTTAATTTTGATGAAGTCCAATTTATCTATTTCTTACATTGTTGTTTGTGCTTTTAGTGTCATATCTAAGAATATATTGCCAAATCCAAGATCATGAAGATTTACCCCTACGTTTTTTTCTGACAGCGTTTTAGCTTTAGCTCTTAAATTTAGGTCTCTAAGCCATGCTGAGGTAATTTTTATGCATGGTGTGAGATAAGGGCACAACCTCAGTCTTTTGTATGTGGATATCCAGTTGTGCCAGCACCATTTGTTGAAAAGACTATTCTTTCCCCATTGATTGGTCTTGGCTACAGATTATCTTTTGATTTTTAAAAATGGAGAGTACGGTAAAGGTGCAGAAACACTTGCTCCAAAGCTCTATCTAAAACTTCTCTAATAGTGGTTCTCAAAGTGTGGACCATGGACCAGCAGCATCAGCATCTCCTAAGAGCTTGATAGAAATACAAATTCTCAGACGTAGGCCCAGTAACCTGTTTTAACAAGCTCTCTAGATGATTCTTACACATGCTAACGTTTTAGAAACACTGCCTTATTCAGCAGTTACCTTTCATAGAAATCAGGTCTCCAGTATTCCAACCCCTTACAACCGTACCATTCAGTGGGCTGGAGACATGGATGTTTCCTAAATTGGCTGGTAGGGCTTAGTCTGATTTGAAAATTGGTAGTTCAGATGACTTTCTGTTCTTTCTTAACATGGAAGTGAAGGACAGGGACTCTGTCTTGTTCACTTTGTATCCATGCTTTACAGGAAGTACTAGAGGGATGTCTGTTGAATGCATGCATGAGTGACATGAGTGAATTAGCAAGACCAAAGAGATGGATTTGTTTCCTGGACTGCAGCCTATGACACAGTAATGAAAGCTTCAGGCTAGGGAGAGGGCCTCACAAAACACTTAAGACTATCTGGCGAAAGATCTGCTTCCTAATTAGGAAGGATTTAATGACTTCCAGTTTCTAGTAATGGCAGTCTAGATCATTTGGACCAACCTACCCACTGAAAACAACTAAAAATGCTGAAAAGGGAGCTTCTGGGTTGATGAACACATGGAGATGTGGGGAGATAAGCGTGCTCAGAGAGCCTGAAGCTTTGTGCCTCTTCCCACATACTTTGCCCTATGCATCTCTTCCACCTGGCGGTTCCTGAGTTATATCCATTTATAATAAAGTTATCTTTCACCAAGAGATGAAGAGCATAATGTTCTAGCATGGATTCATCACAGCTGCCACAGCAGAGCAAAAGGAGGGCAAGTCACCGCAGAGAAAGTCTCTGCCACACTTACCACAGCATCCCCAGGATATAGCATAGTGTTTCCGAATATATGATACTCAGCAAATATTTATTGATTAGGTAGTTTTCCGTGAGAGCAGACAATGACATGAAAATCTTAAAAAGGGAACCAACTGTACTTTGGGTTAAATTTTCTTGGGGAAGTTGAATTCTATTTTGATTTGATCTTACTGCCTTGGCTGGAGAGTTGAATTTTGGGCTAAATCAGTAAAGCTGATACAGAACTCAGGAATTTGAGGCACAGTAGAGAAGAGCTACAGTCAGAGGTGAAGCAGGAGTGGAGAACAAGAACAATATCCTGCAGGGTCTTACGAGCCTTTCGGACTACGTGTCTGAGCAATGGGGAACCAGTTAGAGCCTTGGGAAAGGTGCTTAGAGAGAGATGTATGGATTGTGGGGCTTCTTACTTCTTAATAGCATACAGTGCTTGGCTTAGTATAATTTCCTGTAAATATCTGCTAATTGGAATTTGCTAACATTCATGACTATCTTATAAATGGAATGCTCTATCTCATCCAGTCACTAATAGAGGTTGGCAAACTACAGCCCATAGGCCAAATCCAACCTACTGCTTGTTTTAGTAAGTAAACTTTTATTGAAATGCAGCCACAACCATTCATTATATATTGTCTATTGTCTAAGGCTGTTTCTGTCCTATAATTCTGTTTACAGAATTGAGTAGTTTGACAAAGACTGTCAAGCCTAAAATATTTACTGTCTGGTTCTTTAGAGAAGTTTGCCAACCTCTGCAATAGTTAGTCAAGGAGGATCTGGGAGACCACTTATTTTGGGGTGCTGTCCAAGGGATGGTGGCATTCAGCTCTCAGACCTCAGAGGCCATCACCAGCACTAATGATTATGATCAACAGACATGGTTTGGAAAGTGTGACAAGTGAAAAAAATTTAAACACATTTGATTAATGACAACCTAAGCTTTAATATCTAAGTTTTAAAAAGTTACATTTAAATTAGATGAGTCAATTTCTCAACATCTGACCCTATATATTACACTGTCCCAGAGAAATTAACCAGTAGAAATGTTAATCAATCATTTGAGTTGGCATTTATCTAAAGCCAGTAAGTTAAAGGAAACCCAAAATAAGTTGTATTCCCCTTTTATTTTAGGGTCTCACATTTCCTCCCTTAGCTTTAATAATAATTATATAGAAGGAACAAATTAAAATAAATATTGAAGTTTTAGGATTAAATAATTTTAAAGCTTAAATAATATATGTCTCCATAACAAAGAAAATAATAAGATTATTACTGCTATAATCTGTAACCTCATAAAATTAAGTGTTTACTTGTTTTTAAGAAAGATATGCTCCCTATGGATGAACCAATATCTTTCTTTGATGTCACTTTACAGAATTTTGAACATTACATTCCAGTCTTGGGAAGCTCAATTTAGCTAGTAGTAATTACTGGAAGGCATGATTAAAGGAAAGCTCAGAACAAAGATGCTTTCATTTTTAATGTCAGAGAGCTAATAGTCAAAAAAATATTCAGTAATCAGAAA